AGATAGATAATAGTAAGCATTATAAATTTTATAATAATTTGTATGTAAGTGTATATGGCGTTAATTGCCAATTTCATTAAGAAGACATATTTTTACATAAATATACACTTTAAGCTTTGTGAAGCGTAATTAAAGGAAATGAACTCCGAGCAATAAAATTACAATTTACATGCCTGTATATCACATATACAAAGATGCAGCCTTGGATGAATAACGCAAATATGGACAAAAATTTTAATAAAATTTCTCCAATCATTTTTTTTTTTTTGTTGTAAATAAAATTAAAGAACTTTTATAATCGATAAATAGACTACACTTCACTTGCACAATTGAAAAAGCTTGGATAATAGCTGTCGAAAAGCGGCTGAAGTAGTTATTTTCTCAAGGAGTTGCAGAAATATGGCTTATAATGCTAATCAAATTACGTTACTAGAAACTTTCTATGGACAACCCGTCTAGAGTGCTAAGTGAAGGTTTTTTTTCCTTGAAGTCAACAACTCTGGAAGTCCTGAGATTTACATAATTATAAGAAATCCGTTCAAATGTAGGTGGACCATAGAAGTAGGACTGCAGCTGAGAGCTGAAACCTGTGAAGAGACAATGGGATGGCATAGATAATCCACAATAATAGCTTTAAATTCCATATATTGGCAGGGATGGCGGATAGTCACGACTACCAAGTCGGTACTTGTGGGTTCATATCTCAACGCAGCAGATTGTACTCAGTCGATAAAGGCATAATACTTACCTATCCGGCACACCTCGAACTAAGCCGCGTTCATTCCTTACTCTTTTCTTCGTTCCTTTCTGACTAATACCATACTATACATATAAAGCAGCACACCCAAAGTGATAGGGCAAAAGAAAAAAACAAAAGACTATGAGCGTGATCCAAATAAAGGTCAGAAATGTTTTTCCCGGGCAATCCATACGCTCGTGCCGCAAGTATACTTTCTCGGTCTTCTCTTTGAAAAAAATATCCTAAAAAGCAAATCGACATGTCTGCATCATAGATAACGGTAAAGTCATACCACAGACGTTATAATCCCTTTAATGTGTTGCAAAATTCTGACAAGAAATCCCTTAAAGCCTTCTGTGAAAATTGAGCATGAACTTGTCCAATCACATGAAAGATAATATATCGAACGAACGCAAGTTATTAACTACATACAGAATGTATAACTTTAGATGCTCGTAACTGGGTATTGCAAGCGATATGCAGGGCAATTGTGCCCATCTATTGTCCTAATCGAAGTGATTGGTTCTTCTCAAAATCGTATATTAACACATTTTAATTTCCTTTCGCCAAAAACACGATTACACTTTAATGTTGTTGTAAAAGCTGCCAATATTTGTGTTAGAAAAAAAAATCCTTTTTATATATAAAAAATTTATATTTTGCAAATATTTTTACAACGTACTCAGGCAATATGTAGGCGTTCCAGTTTTGTTTTTCTTATTTAAAGTTCAGGGGGAAAAGCTGCAAAAGCGCTAATAATTGTACACAATCAGGACTTTTAAGGATATTGGCACGCGATGTACGGATATTTTTTCGTTTTGCTCGCTTTACCCATATTTATAAAATAAACAACTTAAAGCGTAGTCTTCCTTTGTACGTCCTTTGTGTTATACGAGCAAACAACACAAAAAAAGCATAAAAGTTTCTACTTCACGGCACTTTTGAAATTACACGATTATGCTACAGATATCTTTACGATTTTTATCTCCCTTCATATATTATTTTGCATAATAGAAATTGTTTCATTTAAAAAGGAATTGTGCAGAAAAGTTTTCCTTTCGTTTTTATTTGCTTTTCCAGATAGATTAAACAAATCTTCAGTAACGTTCGTCCTTGAGTCAAAACACGTCACTGTACCAAATTTTAAGAATTGCGACCTGTAGCTTGAACATGAATATACATTGACAAGCGACAGAAGGACAGACAGACAAGCAAGCTTAGATCGTGATGTAGGGTATAAAATTCCTTTTATCGTTTTCGCAACTGCGAATCTTACAAAAAGGGACAGCAGATAGCATTGCGATGGGTAAGAAATGCCAAACCGCCTTGCGAACTTAGACTGATCTAGAATTTATATAGTTTATGGGTTTTCTAACGCGTACATTTGCGGTTTATGAACGTTACGAAAAATCAAGTATAATCAACTTTTTCAAAAAAAAAAAAAAACACTTAAAGTTTTAAAACAAAACAGAAAGGCGTAAATATTTCTGTAGATGGCAGACGAAATCGAAGAATACTGACACACTATTAAACTGAAAGCAGCCATAAGCTAAAAAAGCACTTTGTCACATAAACGAACGAAGAGCAATAAAACTGACAGGAGGAAAAATTTAAACTGACACTCATTGTGTGCGATATGAAAAGATCCAGTCTTAAATTTTAAAATAAGTACATCGAAGATAGTTTTTTTACCCGATAGAATTCATACAAAACAGAGAAAATTTCCGCGATACAACACTGCCGGCGGGGATAGTACGCTGCAATGAAGCTATAAGTTGCATTGACTTTCTAAAATTAAACCTTTTGATGATAAATATCGATTTGCTGATAATAGACACTGTTTTCATAAAGACATGGCGAATGAAACAATATTATATGGATTTTTTTTCCTTTTTGAGGGTTTAGTTCCCGGCATATGAGACCTCACGTGGTTATACCCTACACCACTTGTGGTAAAAGGTATATTGAGTTATGCGTATGTAACACTTAGAAGGGCTTACGATAGACCCACCTTCTATTATACCGTTCGATTTGTAATCATTGCCTAAATCGATCTAAGCCTGTCCGCCAGTCCCTCTGTTGTTTGTCCATGTACTTTTGTGCTTAATTTGCAGGTCGCAATTTTTCGTATACTTTAAAGACATTTTGTACACAGATGTATTTTTTAAATACCCTCGCATATAAGGAATCTCATGGAACGTAAACCTTTATACGCCAAAAATGGCTAATTGCTAATTTTTTCGTGATAAAAATTCTCTTATGATAGTAATTAAAGAAAAAAAACTAAGTGTGCCTAATTTGAACCACATGAGTCTATTTATTGTTCCACTCCATATAAGATATCTCTCGATATCATACGAATTCATAATAACAATACGGGCTTTCATGAAAATGAAAAATTATGGGTTTGCATAAAAATAATATATACTGTTTGTATATTATTACCAAAACGAGCAAATAACTGTACTAGGCAAGGTGCTACACGTTATGTAATGGTCCGCGTCACTCGACAATAATGTTCTTACCCGTTTTTATTTGAAGAATTGTTTGAATGGCAAGTACGACGCAATCATTCCAATCATTTCCGACCTAAACAATTGAATAAGCCAGCGCGATTTAACTAGAAAAGACTCTGTCTTTTGAATGCAGTAGCATTAACTGCTTTATTATATTTCAACGCAAACGAGTACGTCCGACATAAACCGACATAAAAAGTAATATCTGGTTGGCTTTGACCGATTTTTGACACGTCCATACAGCTATTTTTTAACCTCATCCATAAAATATACGTAGTAGCTTTTATCGTTCGACATGCTGTAATATACAAGTAAAAAAAAAAAACAATTTTTTCAGGCACTCTTAATTTTTAACTTACGCTAGGCGGGTCCTGTGATCCGATTTATCTTAAAGTGGTTTATATCTCCCTTTTTGAGCAACAAAAAACTGCTATTTGTTCTTCATTATTTATTATTATGGATTTACCAAGCGAATGCACTTCTTTTTTTTTTGCAATTCATGTCGAGTATACTCGACGTATATAGTTAGAAGGTTAAATTGTTAATATCTGCCAGTGTTTGCCTAACACATACAAATGTTTCGCATAATATTTACATGATTAGAAGGCGTAAAGAAAATTAAGGGTTGGAAGTCCTTTTGGGCCCGATTAAGCCAATACGATTCGTGCATTTGTTGCATCAATTTTTATTTCTGCTTTGTGCACAGAGCTAAGACGAATAAATTACCTATCCACGATACGCGAATAATGAAACCGAACGTCTAAGGTTGAATTTCAAAAGTGTGTTCAATACTTCGCCAAAAATTTTGCAAAATATTTACTCATTAGAAAATATATATTTGTTATGAGTATAATTTACATACACAATAAAGGAGCGAGAAATTTAAAATTTTAGATGCTGGAAAATCTTTAAAAATTATATTTTTTAAATATTCCTAAAGAAAAATTAACATTTTATTAAGTATTTGAATAGCAAAACAATTCAAGTCCATTACATTCATAGGTTATTAAGTAAAGAAATTTAAAAATAAAACAAAACTCATGAAGCATCCATTCATCTTCTAAAAGGATATCCGCTTGTACACAATAGACGATTAAACGAAAGCAAACTAGATATGCGGATATACACACAAGTCGAAATTCTAATAACATCCAAGGCATCGTGAAAACAATCATGTTAATGGAGGTCTCTTATAATCCAATTTCATTAATTCTCTCTTCTTGTTCTGTCATTAATGTTTTTCCTGTAACGAGTCGAAGTAACTAGCGCACATCGTCTACGTCTATTAATTCTCTCTTCGATGATTACGGTAATATAAATTTTATATAAAAAAAAATTACTGAATTGAATAGGTGAAAATAATATGCGAGATTGTGAATAGCCCCAGTACATATATTTTGTATCAGAAACATGAAAAACCACTTTACACCATTAAAGTTTGCAATTTGATTATAGAACAGACAAGGCAATAGGATAAGAGATGTCCTCCTTTGTTCTTGTTACTGTCCTTTCGGCTATATTACGTATATCAAGAATGTACTGTTATTGTTTTTATTATTATTATTATTGTTGTTGTTCTATTTTTTTTGTTTCGTTTTTTTTTTTGTTTGCTATTGCGATCCTTTCCATCTTCTACCTACGGTGTAACTTACAGTTAGTAATTTTTGTTATTGTGTATTTGTCTTTGTGCACATGTGTGTTTTCATTAACTACATTTTGATAACTATTGATTTTCCCATCAATACATGGTTTGAACGTATCTCGATACTGGTGATATTACTCAACTGCATTACGCTGGGCATGTATCAACCGTGTGTGGACGACGCTTGTCTGGAATATCGTTGCAAAATTTTACAGGTAAGTCAATAAATAATGCGTCAAGAATATATAAAAAGAAATTAAACAAAGGATTATTGTGTAGAATTTTCATCCAACTTTTTTCTTCATCTATTAGAACATACTACAGGGGATGCAATGTGTTAGTGAATTACTTGTCACGCATATAATATAATATATTCTTGAGTAGGTATATCAATTCGTTGATATCTGAAGGGTTCGTTTTTTGTTTTCCACTGAGATTATGATTACCTCCTAAAAGAGTTCATTATTTGATAAAAGTTCATATCAAACTTCAAACTTTCGCGCTTTTGCTTCTGTTAAAAAACTCTTCATTATGATATTTACATCTGGTTTCTGTGTATGTATTTTATCCTAAGCATATAATATTATATTTGAAATTATGTTATAATGCAGAAGGTAACAGCATTTTTGTATATAATATGAACAGTAATGATATAATTTACTACGGTCTTGTTATTGGATGAGAGCCCTACGAGCTTACGTTTAGCTAACATATTACGTAACGTGTCTGTGATTAGAAACATATTTATACCCTGCGTCAGTTATGACGAAATTGACCAAAAACAAAAAAATGTCATCGACCGCACATCGCTTTTAAAGTTAATTATATTTTCATTTGATCGTACGTACACACAATCTTTGGTCAAATTATTAGACGCTATGCTTTGTTCTTTGTGCTAGCTTCAAACCCCTTTAAACTTGGTGACATTTCTTGCTTGGAAAACCTTAATAAGGCCCTTAAGTAAAACTTTTTGACTACACCCACAATTCCAAGTGGCGCTCATTTACCAAACGGAAAAGCGATTGAAATATGTCTATTTTTGTTTATATTTTCCTAGCAATTTGTTTACATTCCCAAGGTAAAATTAATTTCTTCTAAGATTACATACAAGCAAAAAACGTCGCCTATAATCTCGAAAAGTACACGCAATTATAGAAAATCTATAGTCTGTCTAATAAATTGCCTATTATTACCTATAGATATAACAAAGTGATAAAAAAAATGTGCCCGTTTGATGTTTTCGATAGAGGGAGAAGTAACGTAAACCATTCATGCGTATTCGATCGTATATGTTAAGTTTTCACCTATAAAATATGTGCACTAAAAGCGCTGATTTTAACGTTCTTCGAATTGGGCTTAACGGGAGTGATATGGAAAGAACTGAAATAAATAAGGCGCGTTTTTAAGGAAAAAGTTTTGACATCCTAATTACGATTTCGAAATATTTGACGAACGGATAGACATCTATTAACAAATTTTGTCATGGTGATGAAAGAAGTAATAAAGATCTTTTAAAATGTCATCGCGCACGTTTTTAAGTCCAATTTTGTTAACTTACCGCAGTAGGGATCAAATCTGATTCTCACGACTGACACTGCCACTCATTCTAGACTATAGACCACTATACTATACGGTAGCAATCTAGAGCCGACAAATTACTGTCTATGTTCTTTAAAAGAAGGATAAGAAGAACCAAGCAGGCATCGTATCGTTGTATTTTAAAACAAATTTGAGCTTTGCAGTTCATGTTGTTACGATTTTTAAACAATTGCTCCGTTAAATGATGACATCAAAATAATATGTTCAATACGATGAGTTTTGAGCCCACTACAGTGAAATTTTGCTCGACTTTTACATGATCTTTGGTTTGATTTGATGGATACAATGATTATGTTATTTGCATATTGTATCGCTCCGCATATGTAATGGGAAGAAAGAGATTTGTTTGTTTGCACATTCTTTTTATAGCCCCACCAATGTAAGGTGGGGCTATAATCATTTTATTGTTTTCCAAAAGGAAGCTTCAGAGACCCTATAGAGTATATATATATTTTTAATCAGTACAAAATTCTGTGTTGATGTAGCCATGTCCATCCGTCTGTGTGTCTGTGTGATGTGTTTTGTCGGCACTCTCGTGGTCACAAAAATGAAGGTATCGGGTTCAAATAGTAGATTTAGCCGTTTAATCACCTTGCTCATATCCCAATAAACCGAAATGACTCGGAATCCAGAGTCCAGAGAAGTTTATCGCAGCATGTTTTAAGTTATCGCGGCTCAACGTCGAGGGATATTCGACGAACAGCTTTAACACAGGTAGATTATCAGCGTCAACGACAATTTTAAATTTATCTTTACGTGCATGGTACGTAATGCGAAGGGCACCACCTATGATTAAGACGACTGTTTCCTGACGCATTTACGTGGCATATACAGGTGGCAGGTCGTAAGGCTTAGAGCTGCCTGTGTATATAAGCGACGACAACCGTCACGTTCCACTTCTAAATGTAACAGTGAAATTCCGTAAGGAATTCAACGAAAATCATTTTTCCTTTTTTTCTTAATCAATTTTTATTAGATTATTAATTTATTCAAATTGGAATCTTTCAATATCTCGAAACCGAAAGAATCTAAAATAAATTATTGCAGTTCCAAAATGTAATTTATTTGCTTATGTTAAATTTTTTTTTTTGTTATTATTTTAACGAGTTTCAGTCAAGCTTAGCCATAAAACAATTTGATATTCTTCTCTGTGTGTGTTGTTTTTTTATTTTTAATTTTTTTTTTCACGATTCGCCATCCATGGCGCTTACGAACTAAAAAATACTCCCCCAACACGCTTCTTCTATCCCTCCTCTGCGCGGGACCGCCGTTAGGTATTACTTCGCGGAGGCTGGTTGCAATTATTACGCATCGTAAGGCGGGACCTTAGTGGAGGCCCTCATCGATATCCACTGCCTTTTCTCTCCGTCCGTTGTGTCTCCAGTCGTCGTAACTACACGAGGGTATTGCTAGCGAACGCGTCTAGGGTGTTCCAAGCTGCTGCACTGCCGATCATTAGGTTCGTAATCGCGTTAGATGGCACTTGAGGCCGGCCGTTCTCAAATCTTCAGCAGTAGTACATTACGTGCTCTGCGGCTTCTTCCGCATCCGGCGAAAATCGGGCAGTTACTCAAGCTCTCGTGCCTGAATCTGTGTAGATACTTCCGAAAGCAGCTATGTCCAGTCAGGAGCTGGGTGTGGTAATAATTTACATCGTCGCAGCGTCTTTCAACCCATCGTCTTATGTTAGGGATAGGAACGAACCTCCTTTGGTCGTTTTTTTCCACTTCGACTGCTTTATCTCCAACGAGGGCATCCGTTCCTCACTTCTTATAACGTGTGAGGAGAGCACGCTGCCGTGACGCCGTTTATAGATGCGGCTCATCTCGTCGGCCAGAATTTCCACTGGCAGAGTGCTTGCTAACCCCAACGCTGCCTCTTCCGACACGGTACGGAATGCGCAAATCTACCTCAGGGCGTTAAGACGATATATCGCCGCCAATTTTCGGGGTGCTGTCTTAATAGTCAGTATACCCACCCATACTAGACTCGCACTAAGGTCACCACAGTGGCTACGGCCTTCCTGCTTCTTTCTTAGCCGTTTTAAGCCCACCCGTTGCCAGTGCCGTCTGGATGCCTGCCGCTTTCTTCGCCACTTAATCAATATGACGCCTGAAATTGAGGCGGTGGTCAATTATGACCAGATATTTGCGCGGTGACTGATTGCATTATGTGATCCTCGATACTTATTCTGCACATCTCTGGGTTTTGCCGGCTACTTACAAGCACAACTTCAGTTTTGTGTCCAGAAAGCTCTAGGCCAACCTTGTTTAGCCACGCTTGGGTAGCCATGATTTGCCTCGATAGCTTTCGCTTCTATGTCCGCAATTTGCTTTGAACCACCACCATCGCTTCGTCGTCGGGGAATACAATACTTCTTGTGCTGGTGGATTGCTGCAACCGCAAGACGTCGTTATACATGATATTCCACAAGAGTGCACCAACAACTGACCCTTGTGGGTCGCGTGCTGATATTTTGTAAATTTTATACCGCTGTCGCTTTCATACACGAACGTACGGTTCTACAGTTAGCTCGCAATCCGCCAATTTAAGGCGTTTTTAAGGTCTAGTGTAATCAAGGCACAGTATTTGTTGGCACCACCTTTCCATCTGTCCCCGGCTATGGCGCCGGATGCCAGCCTCACTAGGTGTTTTATGGCATCTATTGTCGAATGCGTTTTTCTGAAGCCATACTGATTACTGAGTAGGGCATCATATTCTTCGGCTACTAATAGAAGACGCTCGTATATTACTGCCTCTAGCAGTTTGTCCATCGTATTCAGGAGACAGATAGGCATGTATGACGACGGATCGGTCGATGGCTTTTACGGATCAGGAGCAGCTTCTGCATCTTCCATTTTTCTGAGAAAACTCCCCCTCGGAGACACTGTTCTAGAAGCTGGGCAAATATCTTTGGTCCTACCTTAATCATCGCTTTCAGAGCTATATGAGGAATTCCGTCTGAACCTGTGGCCTTTTTGTCGGCAATTCTTTTGCTGGCCTCATGCAAGTCTCCCGTAGTAACAACCGGGGGTGGCTCTTCCTTCCTTCCAAGAAAATCCAGCGCCACGTATGGTGGCCTTTCTGGGAAGAGTGTTGCTACAATTTTGCTCAGCATGGCAGGGCACGTAACTTGTGGCAGGCCGTGCCTTTTAAGTTTCTTGAGAACCCCTTTGTACGCAGTTCCCCCTGGGTTGGCGTCTGCCACTTTGCGGAGAGCCTCGAAACAGTTTCTCTTGCTGCGCCTAATGGCTTTCTTCAGATCTCCGCGTAGACACTTGTAGGCGCGTACCCGATTGTCAAAGTCTAGCTTTCTCTTAGTTCACTGGATCAGTCTTCCGGCTTTAAAGCACTCCTCTCTAAACGAACTTATTTGCGCGTTCCACCAGTAGCACGGGGCGCCTTTTTACTCACCCTCCTCCTTTGCATTGACGCTTCGCATGCTTTGATTATAGCGGTATACACTTCGTGTACGAGCTGCTCCGATGTGTCGTCGCTTATTGCACGGAAGGAGAAAGTCAGCTTGAAGATTTCTTCGTCGAACGATGTATCATTCCACTTCGGACCTCTCAGACCTCTATTTCCGGGCCTCGACCTGTATAAAGATGGCTTGGTG